GAAAGGTTGGGCATGAGGCTAGCAACCCATCCTGTAAAATAAACACTGCTACAGAAACTTCAAGCCACTAGCTTGAAGCCCTATGTTCCACTGGGGAACGTGAAGGAAAAAAAAACAACAGAAGACTAGTCATAAACTCAACAAGTTTGGTGGTGTAATCAATAGCATTGGCATTAACAGATGCTCGTCTACATTTTGGAGGGAATATAAGTTTTCCCCAAGGTTGACGAATACTAACTAGGCCAACGGACTCCACCTGCCAATTGATTTCAAGGAATAACATTCAGAAACATACAGTCAGTCATATAACTTAATTAAAATCAAATAAACATGACAATAAATATGAAATTCTCCTGTTACACACACTTTCTCATAGTATTAATCAATATAAAGACTTAAAACTATTGGTAACAATTGCAATGTACAGTAATCGAAAGGATACGACATGTATACATATATCCGCCCAATCCAGGTTGTTGTAACAGAAATTTCATCTAAAAAATAATTTACAGTAAAAAAAAAGGCAATTCATTCAAAGAATGGATTAAACGAAGAAAGCAAAATCTAGTACGTACAATAAGTTCAATGATTAGAAGAAATCGTGTTCGGAAGAGACGATAAGGAAGGCATTAAACTCATTACGTGAAACCCTAATAGAGAACGGCTATCCTCCAAGATTCATAGACAAAAACATGAAAGAAAAGTCTCCGTCGTCAAAAATCACAACCTCCCTTCATGAACCTGGAATTCAAAGGTGACATCGCAGCGGAAATTCTTAGAAACTGCCTTTCTAAATTTTTGAAGAAGACATTTCCAACAGCCACCTTACGTATCACATTCTCCAGAAGACAATTAATCCAGTCTAACGTTAAGGGCAAGATACCGCTTTTGGCCATCTGAATGTGTATTAATCAGTTTATTTGCTCGTGTGGAGCAAAGTATATCGGCCACATGCAACGTCAAGTCCCCAAACGAATTCTGGAATATTTTCCAGCATGGTTAACCAGAGGAGAAAAGAAGAATAGTAGCAGCTGCATTCTCGAAACACCTTGTCAACTCTGGACATCGAGCACCCCTGCATGAATGCTTCATAGTGCTACACAGAGTCCCTCAATATCGTACAAAGGGACTTCGCATACGCCATCTGTACATAGCTGAAGCACTAGCTATTCGAGATCTGAAACCGGACCTCTGCATTCAAAAGCACTACATACATTCACTCGCCCTACCGTGGCCAGAGTAAATTTCTAACTATACTTTTGCTTCCTTTTGTTATCTAAGTCTACTGTTATTACTATTATTATTCTCATCATTCGTCTTTTATTATCACTCTATTACTGCTTATTAATAACATTGCGTTTTCATACAGTTCTTACATAAAAACACTTAATCATCTTTCCACTAATTCCTGTCCAATCTACACAATCATACTGATTAGTCATTTTCTCACACTTATTACGTCATACCAATTTCTGCCTCTTTTTAACTTCCAATTAGTCACCCTATCCAGGTTACACCTTACATTGCCAGTATCTGATTGGTCTTATGATTTCTTTGTTAAATATAATTACGATTGTACAGCTTATAAAAATGAATCGCCGAAAAGAACATTTTCTTCGCTGTTGACGTCTTTTTCGTATGACTCAATATAGGAATATTTCGTTTATTAAAAACGAAAAAAACATACCTTGGCAATTTAATACTGCTATTTCCTTTTAGTATGAAAGCGACCTACTTCCAATGTAGGTCGGTTATAGGGGAAACCATCAGGGAACACTGGACAGATGTTTCATCCTACTTCGAGACTCTTCATCAATGTACAGCACCTAAGGTTCCAACAGGAATCGAACTCACGACCCTCAGGTTACAAGAGACCAAGCTTATTAGCCATTCAACCCCTTGGGATGGGAATACGATGATCCGTGAATTCTGACTTTGTCAACTCGTGGTATAGTGTCACCCTAAACAAATGCCTTCGATGAACATACACATCACCGTGGCATATGGTCGACCCCAACTAGGGACGACATCTCACTACTACAGCTTCACGACATCGATCCAGCAGTTATCAGTGAACTGAAGATTCATATTTAGATTTAAGTATTTCGTTGGCCAGTGGCATTCATCAGGCCAAGATGATTAACAAACCTGGTCTTGTAACCTGAGGGTCCCCCGGTTCGATCCCTGACGGGGTCGTGGGTGCGCATTACTGACGAGTCCTAAAGAGTATAGGGTGAAAAAGCTGCCCAGGTGTGTAACAGTTGAAACTCTCTTTAAAGATGATAGAACAAAGCTAGATAAATGTTTACTGCCACACATACACTACTTGGAGAATAGTGAAGAGATATAAATAAATCTTCATTCCTTTGCGTTCCGGGGGAATACAGGGGGCTTCGACGTTTCAGTAGCCATTGTGATGTTGCCTTTTAAAGGGTGAGGTCGCTGGCTTCACGCTGAACCTTCCCTCTTTACTAGGCTTCATACTTGCCAAGGGAAGTTTACGAGTGTGTCAGCCAGGAATCGAACACCAGACGACGTTCAGCGTGGTTGGCGAACATTCTACCGCCGAAGCGCCGACGCAGATAAGAATAAAGAGGGAAACAATAAAAATAATTAAAAAGTAAGTTGTTCTTTTCGTCGGAGGTAAAGTACAAAAACTAAAATCAAATGAAATTACCTCATCATCTATCAGGAGAGAAATGTATGAAGATACGAAATCCGGTACAGTTCGCATACTTCGTAAAAGCTGAATAACAATAACATCATTTATACATAAAAGTGTTAGTAGTGGTAGTATTAGTTGGAGACAAAAGCTTATCAACTGTTAATAAAATTGACTGACATAGACAACTGATGTTAACGTGCAGATTTCATGACGAGCTGACATCAATTAGCGAATCACTGAAAAACCTAGGAGTACTGGACAATCCTTTCGTCCTAATTTGGAACTCTTCATCAGTATGCACCCACTAACAGAGCTCGAACCCAGAGCCTTCTGTTTACAACGTGGGTCAGAAAACCACTCAGCCACCAGGGCCCAATCCTATGGCCCATGATTCGCGAAGTATAGCGCAACCGCCAATCAATGTCATCGGCAAGTAACTGTCCTCTTACCTGCCTTGATGGACCCCGCTGCGTCGGGACACAGTAGCTGAATAGTCTGCGAGCTCGCCTACTCACCGGAAGGTCGTGGGTTCGAACCCCGGTGTGTGTGTACTGATGAAGACTCCCAAACTGGGACGAAGCAGTTGTCCACTACTCCCTGGCTTTCTAGTGGTTCTCTAAGTGATGCCAGCTCGTGATCAAAACTGTAACCAATCACATCATCTCTGCAAATCAACATTTGATGGTGTTAACGTGACAAAGTACAAATGATTGAAGTTGAAACGCAAATACTTAGTGTGTATTCCGATCTTCGTTCGTACTTCAAGAACGATCTTACAACACACACCAATTAGTAATCTATAATATTATCTGTAATGATTAAATAGTGACTATAAAGAAAGATGCTTAATGCATTTTAGAATCACTGAGCCCCTCTAGTTTGTTTTATTATTATTATTCCCTTGGGTTCCTAGTGGAACATAGGGCTTCAGCTGCACGTCTCCACTTGCTTCTGTCTTCTGCTGTACTTTTCACATGCATCCATGTTAGTCCATTCTGATTCAACTCCTCTTCACTTGATCTCCTCCATGTCACCCTTGCACTGACGTCCCACTCGCCGCTTCCCTTTCGGGTTCCACTCGAGCATTGGCTTGACACGCGATGGCATCCAGCGGCCTCCTCAGCGAGTGTCCAATCCATTTCCACTTTCTCCTGCATATTTGTTCAGCGATTGGTTCTTGTTTATTTTGTTCCCATAGTTTCATGTTGGTGATTCTTTCTGGCCATCTGATCTTCAATGTAGAACGAAGACAGCTGTTGATAAAGGTCTGCAACAGGCTGTTGGAAATATTCTTGGTGACCCGCCAAGTTTCTGATCCGTATAGAAGAACTGACTTGACGTTTGTATTGAAAGTCCGAATTTTGTTGTTGATGCTGAGTGACGAAGATTTCCAGATTGGTTTCAGGTTGATGAATGTGTTTTCCGCCTTCCCGATTCTCGATTTGACATCCTCGTCCGTTCCTTCTGTAGTTGAGACAGTTGGTTTAATTAGCTTCTAGTACATTTTATAGGTACATAGGAACTAATGCTATAGTACATGTTGTCAAATCTTCCAAATAAATTTTTTTCAAATGGCCAAATCCTGCTTTTGACTGACTTAGCAACAAGAATTATACTGTCAGTTAAGCATATATGATCATTCAATGAATCTTATTTTGAACTGGATTTTCAACACAGGACTGTTAAGGATGAATTGAAGCCACATCACCAACCATCAGTCACTGAGTCATCCTAATTCTACTGGTTATTCCTATACAAGTGACTGATTGAGATGCTTACGGCATGTGTTGTCTTATGCATGTTAAGCCATTGCTTTCCTCGACAGCGGGCAATGTTAGCTGACATAGGATGGATCAGGTCGGAAAAGAGCGAGTGGTGGTCAAACCAAAACATGGCTTCATCAATTAATGAAATGCACAACAGTTAGTTTAAGCCACCCAGCCACGTAGAGAGGTGTAGACTTCCTGGTTGGTTGGGGTCCTTGGGATGGTGAGAACCAATGAAGACTGGAGACAATTGGTGATATGGTTCAAAATCGTTCACAATGGCTGGCACAGATGCATTCACTCCTTGTGATTTATAATATCCAATACAATTCTATTGTTTTTCAATATTAGCATTCTTTTTGCCTCATATTTCTGTTTATCTCTGTTTTGAATCTTTTTTTACTCTCTTCTGCGGCTTTGTGTGCTACATGCAGGGAGTGTGGCAACTCGAGCTGATACACATCTGTGCAAAGTCCTACGTTGAAACCAGTCAGCGTGTCACATCTATATCTACTCAGACGAATAAACAGCAATATGAAATCCAACAAAATACAATACACAAATCTCACCTCTGCACGTGAAACAGCTCCTGATTCTGGAGAAGTTATTCCTGTGCCACGATTAGCAGCTGTAGCAATGCATAATAAGTGTGATAGAATATCACCACATGCCTAAATAATTTAATATTAAAGTAAAAAACAAACGATCATTTTACAGCAAAATAAACGCAGAATAAGATGAATGAAAGAACATGATAAGTAAGACACGGCCGAGGTGGAGGGTTAAAAGAAAACGCAGACTTACTTCACCAAGTTTTTCACTAGCCAACTGACATATCAATCGATCACGCCACATTGTTTCTAACGTTTGAATATTTGGACAGACTACTAATTTCAAAGATTTAGCCAACTGTAGAAATGTAATACAGATAAGGTAAAAAAAAAGCTAGTCACTCAATATTGTTTTAGAATGCATTCTTAGATAATAATAACAATAATAATATAGTAGTTCAAGTTAGCTCCAAATCATCAGTACTACTTCCATACAAAGAAGGAATCTGGAATACCTTACGCAGAATTCTTAACAAGGCAGGAATAAAAGTGGCTGGCATTCAAACCACCCGCAAACTCAATTAGAAACAAGCTTTGTCGGTTAGAGGATTAATCCTGTGGAGCCAATGAAACAAAACAATTTAGTTTATCTAATTCCCTGCCTGAAATGTTTGTCAGGTCAAATACATAGGTCAAAGTAGTAGAACAGGGGTAGTCAGACTAGCCGAGCATAAAAAACCTAGCAAAATCTAGATTAATTGACCCGAATAAGATAAGAAATCTCGAGAACAGTTCAGCTATAGTACTCACCAGTTACAACTAGACAAAACCATACAAAAGGATGCGATAAGATGACAGTTTTAAAATCTAGTGTAACACCAGGGATGGAAGGAGAGATTGATAACGGAGGCTTTGTTTATCGAATCAATTGCAAACACGTGTAATAGGAATGATTCAACACTTGTCCCAGACGGATATCTGGAAAATTCTACTACCCCTGCGACGACAAATAGGAGAGAGTAAAGAAAACTATAAAACTCAAGTTTCGAAGTCGTGTGATTATAATTGATGGAATGATTATGAACAATAAATTTTGTTCGAAACTGTGTCATCCAGTAAATAATACTGTTTCACTGACTGTGTGATACATCTAGTAAAAAACTAATATGGAATTAGCTCTAACAGGACTGACTGGTTTCAACTTTGCACAGAAGTCCAATAATTCAATTTGTCAGACTTGATTTATTACACAAAGGGAGACAAAAGACGGAAAAAAAGATTCAAAAGAGGAGTAGCAAGCAGAAATGTGAAAGAGAAAGAGTGAATACAGCTGAGCCATTTTGTGCTACTTAGTGCTACTGCTCGGTCAAACGAAAACATGGCACCAGTCAATGAAATCCACAACAGTTAGTCTAAGCCACGTAGGAAGATGTAGACTTCCTGGTTGGGGTCCTCGGGATGGTAAAAACCAATGGTTGGAAACAATTGGTGACATGGCTCAAAATCGTTCTCAGTGGCGCAGATGCATCCACTCCTTGTGACTTATGATTTCCAATTAGACTGTTTCGTTCTCCGTTATTACTATTCCTTTGTCTCGCACCTCTGTTTACTGTCTATATTATGCATTTCTTCTACTTTCTTCTCTTGCTTTGCGTGCTACACAGATTTTGGCGACTTGAACTGCCGCACATATGTGCAAAGTTCTATGTCGAAAACCGACCGACTGCTCGGTTTGTTAAACACTTAACTAAGCCTGCCTTAACAGTTATATATATATATATATATATATATATATATATATATATAGAGAGAGAGAGAGAGAGAGAGAGATGGGCATCTAACTGAAAAGTAAACATTTCTTAGCTCAATTCTTTTGCTTTCTAAATATCTAAATGGGGATTTCTTCTATTTAGCTAAACACTAAATTGAAATGAACCACTGATATTTAACACCTTTAAGGATTTGATATAAGGATAAATTTTGGGCACTGTGGTAGAATATTATTCCATTATGAATAAAATTTTAGTCCTAGGACAAAGCTGCCCATTGAGGAAATTATTTTAGGAATTCAGCTACGCCTCACATCTACTATCTTTAAATTCCAAGGCAAAATATATAGACAAACTGAAGGTGTACCAATGGGATCTCCAATATCCCCTATTGTAGCAGACATATTTATGGACAGTTGGGAAAATAGTGCTCTTAATACATTCACCTAATCCTACTCCAAAAATATGGTAGAGATATGTGGATGACATTTTCACCCACAGTGTTGCAAACAGAACATATCTCTAGCTTCTTGACGAATATGAACTCACTAGTGGAGGGAATAAAATTCACATTTTAAGCCGAAAATGAGCAAGGAGAATTAGCTATGTTAGATTGTAAAATAAAACGAATAGAAGAAGGTAAACTACACACTTGCGTTTATAAAAAACCAACGCATTCTAATAGATATTTAGACCCCCTTTAGTTCATCTCATCCGTTAACTGTTAAGGCAGGCTTAGTTAAGTGTTTAACAAACCGAGCAGTCGGTCGGTTTTCGACATAGAACTTTGCACATATGTGCGGCAGTTCAAGTCGCCAAAATCTGTGTAGCACGCAAAGCAAGAGAAGAAAGTAGAAGAAATGCATAATATAGACAGTAAACAGAGGTGCGAGACAAAGGAATAGTAATAACGGAGAACGAAACAGTCTAATTGGAAATCATAAGTCACAAGGAGTGGATGCATCTGCGCCACTGAGAACGATTTTGAGCCATGTCACCAATTGTTTCCAACCATTGGTTTTTACCATCCCGAGGACCCCAACCAGGAAGTCTACATCTTCCTACGTGGCTTAGACTAACTGTTGTGGATTTCATTGACTGGTGCCATGTTTTCGTTTGACCGAGCAGTAGCACTAAGTAGCACAAAAAAGACCTAAATGATGAAATGAAACAGATAGAACAGGCGTTGGTGTTAAATAACTATCATATATTAGGATATTAGGAAGATCGAAAAAGGCCAAAAACAAATTAAAAATAATTGTGAAACTAGTAATGATAACATAAATATGAACGAATGTAAGGCATCTACAGTTTTACCATATAAGGAGAGGACATCTGAGACCCTACGTAGGATTCTCAATAAAGCAGGAATTAGGGTGGCATTTAAACCTACAAACTCACTCAGGTAGGACAAGCTTTATAGGCTAACGGACTGGGTGGACCCAATTAGACAAAATAATTAAATTTACAAAATACCTTGCAATGACTGTGAGTTAAGTCGACTACATAGGTCAAACTAGTAGATCAGAAGTAATCAGATTGTCGGAACATAAGAATTTAGTTAAGGTAAGAATGGTTGACCCAGAGAAGATAAGTAATTTAGAAAAAAGCTCAGCAATTGCACTGCATGCATCAACACACAACCACACAGTAGGCTGGTAGGAGAGGGTTAAGAGAGAGAGATTGATTACTGAATCCTACCTGGTACATCGAATCTACATTGAACACATGCAACAGAAATGACTCAATGCAAATACCAGAAATATCCATGGAATATATTAATACCACCAGTCAGTCAAATCAGAGGAGGATAATAAATAATCTTAAAATTCTATTTCAATTCACGTACATCATAACATTGTAACAAGTTACTTATTTTGACTATAAAAACACTCGTCTAATTTCCCATCTGATTGTATTTGATCAATAACACTCATATTATTACTTCTGAATGTACATTATCCTATATTGGTTTTTATTCATATGTCTAATCATTAGTTCCACCCATGTATATAAATGAAAGAAAAAAGTTGTGTGAGTGACTTGATGTGACAATGAGCAATAGTTTGTGCTCGAAATGTGGTCGCATCAGTTAATATAACTGTATAACACTGTGTGACTTTTTTATTTTAATTGGCCTTTTAGTTTTCATATAAATTGATTTGTTGATGAGTGATCAGATTGTTTGAAATGTATTCGGCAAGTACTTTACATTTTTCAGACAATCTCCGCCTTCTAATAACACTCCAAATTTATTAGAAATTCTTAAAATACATAAATAAATAAACATCCGAGGAATTTTATTCACAAAATAAACAGAAATGTGGCTAATTCCTGTGGGTTTGTACTGATGAACAGTCCAAAACAAGGACGAAACACCTGTCTAATTCTCTAACTGATGTCAGCTTATGATGAAATCCTCCAACCAATCAAGCAAAATCCCTACAAAACCAATACTTGCAAATTCTGGTTTTTTAATTTGATAGAGGCATTAGTATTAAATAGGCAAAACTTCTGTAGACAACTTCTAATTTATTTAGGGAATACAAGTTTCCAATAGTAATGAATATCACAGCCAATGTCCAGATTTTTAGAACTATTAAATATTAACTTGATTTATACATCTATACACTGTTTTATTTGTTTTGTTTTTTTATATTTTTCTCCTTTGCGTTTCGAGTGAAACGTGCTGGAGAGGTTTCGCGTGCACTTCGGATTGTGAGGGCGATTGTTACTTCCCGGCTGCCCACACCGTGGAAGTTGGTTGCGTGACCGCAGAACCCAGGGGACAGCTGCTTGAGGCCGGTCACACACGGCCTGTTTTTGTTTGTTCTTTTTCATTTGATGTGTCTCAGTAGCATATTTATCACTTCTGCCCTGTGACACGGCAGCAGGAAGCGCGGTCGTTGTTAATCCGGGCCCCGACCGATCCGGCATGATATTTTGTGATTTGTTTGAAGTCATAGGATTGGATTGGGTAACTGCTTTTAGTCTAACCGCTATCCAAACAACCTTTCTGGCATGGTAAGACCTGCAGGAACATAAGTTCCAGCCAGTATAGCTTGTTGGGTCATTGCGGTGTTCAAGCCCGACCACCACGTCAAGGTAGCAGCTTTCGGTCGTGAAACGTAGGGCTTCAAGATTCGGTTTTGGAGTTTCTGTAGTAGGTATGTTAATTATTTTATGGGATGGGGTTGTTAGCCTCATGACCAACCTTTCGTCTTTCCTGGACTTACTGTCGGCTAGGCAAGGTTAAGAGGTGTGTCGGCGGAGAATCGAACCCAAACAGCATGGATGGTAGGTAAGTGTTCTGCCAATGAGCGACCGGTGCACATACACCCTACTATACTTATTTCTGAATTTTTCACAATAGATATAAATGTGTACTTCCGGTAAGCTTTGATTCAATAGGATGAACTACATTGTTCGTAAAGATTCTCCCTTCTGGTGAAACCTACATTTTACTTGTGGATTTCATACCAAAACAATATTATCATTGTTGAATATTGGTTTGCAGGGATTTGACTGGTTACAGAACTAATCACGAGCTGACATCAGTTAGGGAACCAGTGGAAAACCGGTAGGGGGTATTGGACAGCCGTTTCGTCCTAACCTGGGACTCTTTATCGATACGCACCCCTGTGGGTTCGAACCTAGGGCCTTCCGGTTAGGTGCCGACCTCGTAGACCATTAAGCCACCGGTCCATGAATTCCAACTTCTGTTGATTCGTGATATATATTTAGCACAACCGCAAGCCAATGTCACGGGCGAATAACTGTAACCCCGCTGATTACGACTTCTCACTAGAACTCCAGGTACTTCCTGTATAGAGCAAGTTTGGAAGGTCCTGGGTTCGAACCCCATTGGATGCATACTGACGAAAAGCCCCTCCCCCCCCCCCCAAAAAAACGAAACGGCTGTCCAATATTTTAGTACTTATTCTTTCTCAGAAATCATGAAGTACAAGTTTTGAAGATTACCAATTGAGGAAGTTAATTCGCAATGTGATTAAAACGAACAACACCGGAGCACATAAAAACAGCTGCTCAACAACAATGCCGCACTAATTTAGTTAAAATTCTTTTCAACTTACCTCAGAAGATTCATCATAGCGTTTCGCGCGTTTACGCGACGGTTCACTGTTTACTTCAATAGGTATAGGCCAGGTGACTCGTCCACTTGCAATATAATTGTGTAATGCTTCTAAATTACACGAAATAGAAATTCAATAAATTATCGAAAGTTAACTGAACCAACGTTTAAATGCGCGAAGTTAACATTTTAATAAGTCATAGAAATATGAAGCAAATCTAATCAACACAACGAAGGCTACAAAGAGAAAGACTTGATGTGTATAACACATTTAACGGAATACTACACTTTTACAAACTGGGCACATGAAAATATGTTAATCTGGACTCAATGAGGCGCAATATCCACCTTTTAAATCACGATAATGCAATCTAGGAATATATAACTGGATTGTTTCAAAAACAGATCATACTGTGGTGTGACGCAGGTTGACAGGAAGCGGTCAAAACTGAAATAAACATTTTGCGTCAATGGTTGCACAGGTAGAAGTGTTCATTCCAAAGATCTGGATTTAGTTTACTTTGTGGGCACATGAAATAACCTCATTGGACAACTATGTTTAACCTTGGGTCAATTGCCAACTAACTATAACAATTTATTCTCCTCTCACCTAGCCTAACTTTAATATGGCTCATAATGTATAAATATGATGGGTTTTCGATGAATAAAGGTTCGTTAGCAAGTCTCTTACCTTCTTGCGTTACAATACTACCAACATTCTTACCAAGTGTAAATTGACTGTGAGACAAAGTTGGCGACAAAATGAAGAGTACTTCCATCAGATTGGCATCTGTTGGTTTACTAAAGTTCTGTGACTGTGATTAGAATGATCAACTGACATTAGATAGGAACTGAACTTATCAGTGATTTTTGTGTCAGTTTAGCTATTCATGAGCTTACGCACTCGGTTTTCAGCTGATGGGTCATAGGTTCGAGTCCCGCTCCACTTACTTCAGCCTGGGCAACTGGGTAGTATCACCAGCCCTAAGGCAATAAGTGTGGATCTTAACCTGGTTCATGATAGATCTGTCCCAGATAACTGAATCTCAACAACAGTTTGGTCTTAAGACACGTATATTCATATACTAAATATACTGTTTCTCTAACTGAGGATAACGTCCTCAGTTTTATGATCTACTCACTCCCTTATAAATCTGTTATACTCTGTATTAGGCTTTATTTTAAAAAGAAATACGAAATGAGCACTAGTTTAAGTAATTTCGTTTCGACTGGTTTAACGACGTGAAGTGCAGACTTATCTATTATTATTACTGTTCCCTTGGGTTCCAAGTGGAACATAGTGCTTCAACAGGACATCTCCACTTTATTCTATTTTTTGCGGTGCTCTTAAGTTGGCCCCACGACTGCCCATAGTGTCTCATCTCCTCCTCACACGATCTCTCACCCTCAGACCAACGTCCAACTCTTCTTTCACCTTCCCGGTCCCACTAGAGCAATAGCCTGGGGTGCAATGTCATTCAACGGTCTCCTCAGTGTGTGTTCGATCCATCTTCATTTTCTTCGTTATATTTGTTCTTGTTGGGTTCTTTACACTGCAGGGTCTCTGACCATCTTTAGCATGGAGTCAGATAAGTAGGCAGCTGTTAATAAAAGTCTGCGAACTGTTGGAAATGCTTTTCGTGACACAAATGCCGAATTTCTGAACCATATAGAAGAAATGACTTGACATTTAGGTTGAAAAATCCATACTTTGTTGTTTATGCTGAGTGCAGAGGACTTCCAAACTGGCTTCAGAGTGATGAAGGTCTGTTTTTTGCCTTATCTATCTGTTTATTTCCGCATTACTCTCCGTTGTTTTTTATCTGCTACACACAGTACACTTATTTATCATCGCCCATTAACATAACCAGTTTTTCCCGAAAATTACAATCACAAATGGAACTAGGACCAACAACGAGTCTGTGTTTACACGTTCACTTAGTTCGAATTTAAGTCAGCGAGCAATACAAATCAATAAGCTGACCACACATTTAATGTTTAAGTGACTGTTAAGATAACACTGACCAACTGATAAACAAACTGATAGACACTGAACTGATACTTATACTTTGAAAAATTCAATCAATCCCACGACGATAAGTGGGCATTTTAATTAAACACAGTCTAAGTAACTTACCACATATCTCTTCTTTTGAAACTTGTATTTCAGGATCTTGGGTAGTTGATGTGACTGTAGACGTTTCACCGGTTTGTGAAGAATTTGTTTCTTTGGTGTTTTCAAGTGACCAAAGTTTAGGATTTGTGGTCTGTAAAACATTTGTTTTCACAAGCGTTGTTACAGTTGTTCCCAAGGATTCAACGTAAGTGTGTTGTTCTTCTACAGAAACTGTATTTGGAAAGCATAAATGCAAATGAAAATTTCCTTACGCTTAAGTTTGAGATGCTTCTTAACGCAATAGATCAAAACATCACTTAAAGTAGCCCGCCCAATAGTAGAAAAATATAACATAACTTGCTCTGCAACTTTGCCATAGTAATGGAATACCAATTTACAAAATAACGGTGATCTAAATGCACAAAAATACGTACACAAGTATGTCAACATTACCTTGGTATAAAAAATATACGTTCGTAATTGAAACCATACTTTAATACTGTGTCCTTTTTAATAGTTAGGACAGAATGTCTTGTCAGTGAAATCAGACACCTGCAATATATATATCAAAATGACAATAACATAACTCACCTGCAAACACGACGTGAATCCAACTTTTTATGACAATTCTTTAAAATTTCAAATAAACTTGATGCACCTTTGACACACAAAATACGTGTGCTTACTGTAGCAGCTTCACCGAAATACTTCTGCAAAATATAATTTGCATACTGAGATGCTGTGTCTGACATCACATCAAAAATTAACGCCTATGTAATCCCCACAACAGTGACGTCTCTAAGGAGATAAAAAAAGCAGAACTGATGATATGGAAGACTGTTTCTCAAATGACTAGCCCACAGTTCGCATAAACGAACTGATGCGTCATTATAATTTGGACAAATACAAGTTTAAGAAATAGTAACATCATAGACATCAACAGTTGGAATATCCCACTAAGTTCTTAAAAAAAATACAGTTTAAGTGTTAATCTTAATTTCGTTATCATAACTACAGTGTGAACAAGTTTCATAATTTTCCAATTACAAAAATACAGGATTTTAATTGGTAAGCGATAAAGTTAAGAAAGAATTGGTAGTTAGAACGAAACATGACTCCGATCCATGGAACATTTTGATTGTTGGTTTGAGACACGTAGAGCGATGCAGACTGCCTCATTGAATTCCTAAGGATACTGCAGATCAATGCTTAGAGACGGTTGATGACATTGCATGAAATCGTTCCCAATGCTACAAATGTATTTCTTCTTTCTAATTCATTAAATCCTCCTTATTTTACACATAACTATTCATTCTGCCCTACGCTTTCTTTCATTTTGTTCTAATTTTAAGTGTTCTTACGAAGTGTAGCAACTTGAAAGGACGCACTCATTGCGACACCTCAGTTCGCTTCACAAGAAAACGACTACCAATACACATTCATTAGTTCACAATAATGCACTACGATTTAAAATGGGGAAGTGAAATTTGACAATTACAAGTTTTTCAAGCAGCAAACTATAACTGCGAACACTTTGCCACCACGCTGTGCGACTTACAGAATTTATTTACAGGAAAACCCTAGTTTTAGACTACTAAAATACACAGATAATGGACAACCAAATATGAGAACACAAAGGTCGTGTAAACCAAAACAAAGACATACACACTTTCTCGAAAAGAATGAGATGACAGCACTAAAATTCACAACGATAACAATGCAATTCAACTGCTCGGGACGTATATTTATGACGAACTTAAATACACAATTCGAAGATATTTGCAAAGTTGAGCTGCACGAGTGAATTAAAATTCCCATGCACATGACCATAGCTGTAAGTATAAAACTTGGGCACTGTGGTAGAGCATAACTCCATTATGGATAAGATTTTATTTTGACAAATCACAGTGTTGTATAGTAATATTAACTGATGACGTTTCGAGCATAAACTATTGCTCATAATCATATCATATCATAATCATGTGATTATGAGCAATAGTTTATGCTCGAAACGTCATCAGTTAATATTACTGTACAACAATGTGTGATTTATCAAAATAAAATCTTATCCATAATGGACATGACCATAGCGCCTTTTCCTACTGTTTATATGCGCCCTTGTAGAAATTATAGGGTGGTGCGCTTCTGAACACATCTAACTAGTTACTACTGACTGTTTCAATAAAGGACAGTGGTTTTTTCTTACTCTTGACTTTTATTCCAACCTAAACATCACGAATAATTGTTTTCATTATCAGTAATGGAATTTTGCTCTCATAGTCGGGCATATACCTTACTACATATACATATTATGAAACCTTAATTTTATCAATTGGGCATTCAAACAGCCTTTCACTCAGTCTTTTTAGTTGTTTCTAAACAATAAGTACCTCAAAAAGTTCAGCTCTGCATGCCTCTTCAATTCAAATGTCACCAATTTCGTAAGGACTTAGTACAGTAACCTCCAAGTGGTGTTTAGCAAACGGTCTGAGTAAAACTGTGAAAACCTTGACTTTGTTAATGAAATTTTTAAACTGTTTAGAGGGATGATTAGCTTTGCTGTAACTCTAACTCGTTATATGACCCAAACTTTAGCCTTCAAGCTTAACCCTATACATAACTCCTAACACTAATTCAATCGTCAACCGTAACTCTGAACGACAAAAGTAGGTAGATCAGATAAGCAGGGAACCATTCAGGCAAAACTTACACTGCATCCACGACTAGTAACATAATTGTTTCTTAAAGGACAGTTGGTGGTTACTACAGTTAACTATCACTTTTTTATTGTGTTAAGCGTCCTAATAGGAAAAGAGTAAAAAGGGGTTGAACAATGGACAAGGCCAACTGTAAGAAAAATCTGGCGAATTTTGTTATAAATGGTGAACCAATATTTTCCCTTAACATGACGACTTTTGTCGGAATTTAGTGACTGTTTAGACAATCTTTTACCACTTCGCCTATTTATTATGATACAAGCGTGATGTTCGAGCTTTATTGCTGTCCAGAAATTACGAACAGAATTATTCTTTATAATATTATTTTCCAACTTATTCATTACACTGTAATTAGCATGCAGACAACGAAAAATGGAAAATACTACTCACGTGAAGAAGCAACGCAAATTGTCGAATGTACCGCAGTGTCTGACAAGAGTTCAGAATTCAATTTAATCGAGGAGAGAAGGCTTCAAATCTGTATAAAATCTTTTTTGACAGTCACCCGTGCCTTTGTCATTCCTTCTTGAACGGGTCAAGTAAAGGGGTTAGTGAAAAAGCAGCACTCCAGGACGATATTTCTTCACCTTAGCTTCTAAACTATAGCACTATGTCGAAACCAAATAAAAGGAAAAAGGGTAGGCCCAACGTCTTTTCTGGTAATTTCAAACGTCTAAGTAGAGTCTCCTGTCTGTCTGCTGTGTGATAATGAGGGAAAATTTGGTCTGTAAAATCGTTTCTCATTTATCCATTGAACTATGTGCAACTGATTGATCGGGATGAGTAGTTGTAAACGTCTGATATCAATTAGTAGTATTCGTCTCAGTCAGTCAGTTGTACACAGTTTTGTGAAAATATACTTGCATAGTTCATTAGCACTTTTGGCATCTATCAACTCACATTATTTGAATAATTCCAGTTTCTGAAGGAAAGTCACATGGAATTTCACCTCGAACTGTGAATACTGAGAATTAATTCCAATATCCAATATCGTTTTTACGAGCTAGTATAAACCAATTTGATTTCTTTGTGCTCGCCTGTTGATTGCGAGGTAGAGGTTCCTGACCTTTGGTAAACGTCTGTGTAGCTCGTCCCGCCACTCGACTGTCGTAGCTTTGGTTGACTCCAACAGGAGTAGTGCTGGGATTAATTATATGGGGTTTGTAGTATGAAGTGTGTTAAGACTGTTACTACTGTGAATGGAGTTGATCCTTTCACCAGTTAGTCTTTCGGTATCGTCGTCAATGGAAAAGAGATAATAATAATAGGTATAATTAGTAAAGGTATTCAGACTAACAGACAGAGAAAAAAATAAGAAAACGTAACAACAGTCAGTCAACCGGTACATATATATATACCAGTAATAATGATAATGATAGTAATAATAATAATAAGTGTAGTCAAAGCTGTCAGGAGAGTAAGACTGAAGGGAATGTGAAGAATTAAAACGACCAGTTTAATTGTCTACCTTTGAATGGTATATGCGATTTTAAGGGGATAGGCCATTTGGATGAAGTCCTTGTGTCGCTGCATGGTTGTCCAGCCTTCGCTTAAAGGCGTCCACAGATGGTGCCATAGCTACATCTGCCGGTAAGGAATTCCAGGGACGGCAAACCCGCAGGGAAAAGAAGTGGCAGCGCACCCGGGTCCTTGCCCTCTGATGAGCTATCCTTCTAGGATTTCCACGAGGGAGCCTATACCTACTCAATGGCAGAACACCTTTGTTTGGGTGATTCTGATCATTTGTTATTTTATAGGCAGTAATTAAATCCCCCCTCAGGCGACGGTAACTGAGTGTGAATAGGCCTAATTTCTTCAGCCTTTCGTCATATGGTTTATTTCGGAGACCAACCACTCCTTTTGTTGCCCGTCGTTGGACTCTTTCCAAGAGGTTGGCGTCTCTTTTAAGCAGTGGGGGTGCAATGATATTATGCACTTCAAGATGCGGTCTGACGTATGTTTTATACAACCTTAGAAAGAGCTCAGGAGTGAGTGCACCTAATTGTCTATGTGTAAAGTGTATGACCGCATATGCCCTCGCTACATCCCCCGTGTAATTCACGCCTGTGTCCATTTTCTCCGTTAGAACTAGACCTAAGTCACGTTCCGACGTTGAGCAGGACAAGCTTTCATTGCACAGGGTGTAAATTGCATTCTGCAGTCTACAGGTGCGTAACTTCACTACTTTGCACTTTTTCAGGTTGAAAGTCATTCCACTGGTTACCGCCCAGTCTTCCAGAAGCCTTAGATCTGCCTGCAGCCTATCTGAGTCCTCCGGACACTTTACCGCCCTCCATATCTTTACGTCATCAGCGTATAGAAGAGTCGGGCAGCTTAGACGGCATGGTAAATCATTGATAAAAATCAAGAACATCAGTGGTCCCAGGATAGAACCCTGCGACACTCCTGATGACGAGCTGTGCCAAGATGATCGGACTCGATTGACCTTGGTGCAAAGTTGCCTTTCAGTTAGGTAGTCCTTCAACCATGACAGAAGTGGTTTACCTAGACCTACCTGGCTTATTTTGTGTAGGAGAAGGTCATGGTGAACAGTGTCAAATGCCTTCTCAAAGTCTAGAAAGATCACATGGACAGGAACATTCATATCCCAGCATGATGTCCAATCGTCCCTAGCTGATAATAAGTTAGTGACGCAGGATCTTCCTTTCCTGAAACCGTGTTGAGCTTCATGGAGTATTTTAGACCTCTCCAGATATTCCCTGATGTGATCATCAGTAATACTTTCCAGTACTTTCGATACCACTGGGAGTAGAGCTACTGGTTTATAACTGATGGGATTTTGCCTATCCCCACCCTTGAAGATCGGAGAAAGGATGCTTCTTTTCCATTCCTTTGGCAGTTTACCCGATTCCATGGAGTGTTGGAACAAGTCGCATAAAGGCCTACAGAGAGCTAAGGCGCACTGTTTCAGAACAGATGGCCTGATGTCATCACAACCTGGGGACTTCCCAGGTATGAGTCGCTGCAGCTTTCTCAGTACTATTGCAGGGTTTATTTGAGGGGTGGCTATTTGGTCTTCCTCCTGTGAAATAGTCATGCCACCATTTTGGTTCGTAACGGTAATACCCACATTGCTGTTTAGCTGTTTGGCAAAGGCTAAACTGAATGTTTCAGCCATCTCCAGACTAGTGAGATATTGACCGTTTTGGCCTACTAAGGCGCAAGCCCCTTGGTTGGTTGGTTTCCTTTCCGACATGAATCGGTACAAATTCTTCGGGTTTGCCAGGAGTTTTTTAGCAAGGTTAGCCTGGAATGACCTTCTGTCCCTCCTGACTCTTGCCTTGCACCGGTTCCTGAGTTCCAGGTATGCATCATGGTCGATCTGGCTTTTAGATACGCGCCACGTAAACCAAGCCTTCCTCTTTGCTTGCAGAATACGCTGCGTGCCTCTCTTTAACCATGATGATTTTCTTTTGGGCTGTGCTGTGACTAAAGGGACGGTATCCGAGATCGCTGTATGAATAATCTTTTTTACCGCTTCCCAGTGTTCATCCACAGACAGCTCATCCCATGCTAAGGGCCAGTCTGCATCGCACAAGAGCCTCCGCATTTCAGCGTAGTCAGCCTTGCTGTAACACAGACATGGTTGCGTAGCGTCCCACTGCAAGTGCTCACGGAGAACGAGGTCGAAACCTATGAATGCATGGTCACTACTTCCTAGAGGAGTCATGACCTGGACCTTTTCGACGAGTAGTTGGTCACTAGTTAGAATGTAGTCTAGTTTTGATGACTTTCCACTAGGGCCCCACCTAGTGTCGTCTCCAACATTCTCAGTCAGTCCCGTGTCCCGAATAGCTTGCAGTAGATTTCGGCCGAATTTTCCCTTAGCATACCCCGAGCCAAGGTTCAGTGATGGGGCATTGAAATCTCCAGCAATGGTGATTTGGTCATAGCCCAAGTCTCGTATCCCTGTGATAGTGCTGAGCAGTAGCTGATTGTGCTCTGCCCCACAGGTGGGAGATCGGTAGATGCCACCAAGTAAATGCTTGGTGTGGCCTACGGTGAAATGACACCATATGGAGTCTGGGAGTCCAATAAGTGGTGGGTTCGTTGCGCGAACACATTTAAGTTGCCTATCAAAGTATATGGCAACTCCCCCTCCTTCCTTATTATCCCTGTCTCTCCTGACCAAAACCATATCACCTATACTGATTTCATTATCGGCGATAGTGGGGGTTAGCCATGTTTCGGTGAGAATTATTATTTTCAGTTGTAGGTGTGCTTGGAGATTTCGGAGTTCATCTATTTTTACTCTCAGCCCCCTCACATTGCTATACAGGCGGCTGACAGTGAGTCTTACAACCTCAGCGTGTTGTGGGGTAGTTGACGTGAAGCTGTCTGCTGGTAGAGGACTTAATGTTGGGGCTAGTTGGCCAGTTCCGATGGAACCGGCCCATTGTGGTTTTTTCCCTTGGATTTAGGCAGGACACTTGGGTGGCACAGACTGTTATTCTCAGAACTGCATCGCTCGAGTGTCACTGAAGCTTGGGGACGTATTAAAGCCTCCGTTTGCTGCCTCCTTATGGTTCGAGGTCTGCTTTCGCAACATCGGATGTGTCCTCCCAATTTCCCCTTGATCTCATACCACCGTTGAAGTGTTATGGCCAACTGCTCTGGGGAGTTGAATGTGACACTAAGCAGCTTTGGGGAGCTAATCAGTGTGAGATGAGCGGGGCGAGGTAGCCGGTAAACGGAGATGGCTCCAGAAGCGCCAAGGGCCATCTGAGACGACAGCCATCTCCACTGCTGTACGTCATGCATGTGTTTTTCACAGGCAGTGCCCGTTTCCAGCTCCGGAACACCGTGCACTACCATAGAGGTGGAAGGCAAAAGTTCCGGTGACTCCCTCGCCATTTGTCTGACAGCCCATGGTCTGTCTTGTCTCGCCCTTATGTTAGAGCTTCTGTCGATGGCTAGTTCCTGAGCCATCAATAGTACCTTTTCGGCCTCTTCGGCAGAGTCCAGTGTAACCCGTAATGGGGGCGGCTTACCTTGAGGTGTGTGGACACCCCTGTACAGCCTGCACAATTTCACTGAACTAATATTCAGACCTAGTTTATTGCACAGGTTGGACCACTGTTCCTGATCAAACAGGGCCCGCTGTTCAAGCAAGCTGTCCTTGCTCACAGGTACGTTAAAGAGGATGAGCGAATTAGACCGATTAACCTCAGACTTAGGTTTGGCCTTTGGCTTCTCGTATTCCTTTGCAGCATCAGCAACTTTAGGCTTCATCAGGTTCTGGCCAGCCTTTATTGTGTTGCCAAGCTTGCTTGTGGATACAAGTGGTGCTTCTCTAACTCTATCTTTCCTTAATGTTTTAGGTCCAACCCTGTCAATCTTCACCTTGTGAAAATTGGCATTTTCGGTCAGTAGGACTGGAGTGTCCTTCTT